GATACTCTCTTCGAGAGATATTGTGTGCACCAACCAGTCGGACCAGCCAACCAGCCAAATGTCCTGAAACAGACTTGGTCCAAAGAGACCGAGGGTCTAAATCCGTTTTTTCGACTAGGCATATTTTGACCGTATTAAATGACATATACAGGGTTGCCCATATTCGACGGACCTTTGGGCCCTTCGGGCCCATTCCAATCGACGACGCTTGTCCGCAGCCAACATTCTTTGCGTCAATTGAATTTTGTACGGGAACAAATGCAAATCAATGCGAATAATCCGTTGTAAAGTGGACCGAGCCATGCCCAACTGCTGGGAACGGCGTTTTTGGGATGTTCTTGGGGACCTCTCAACACTGGCTCGTACGGCAGCGATATTCTCGGCCGATCGCCTTGGTCGACTTTTTTATGGCATCTTCGAATTAGAAAGAGCCTTACCAGTCGAAAATTGTTCGTATAAACCCTTAATGGTGTTCTTAGAAGGCGCACTTCTGTTGAATGTAAATTTCAACTATTTCGCGTGTCGTGTATTGGTTCATGGTAAAAATCTGCTTGGACTGACGCTTCAAACGCGGTATGTCATTAAGCGATGTGACATCTCTGTCAAAAGTTATGGCGTTGCCAGATGGGTCCGTCGAATATGGGCAACCCTGTACCCTCCCCATGCATATGGCTGATGGTATAAACAGGAAATATTTCCGGGTTTTTTGAGATCATTAAAGTCAATATTTTTTTAAAGTGTACAATTGAAATAGAGTTATATTTTTTTGTGTTGCACAGTGCAATTTATCAAATTAGCAACACATTTTTCAATCTCGAAACATAAATTTGATAGAATCGTAAAAAGATCGATAAATAAATCCCCTGCAAATCCGGCAATTTCAAAATATTGTTTATAATAAACACGATTTACTGCTTAGTGTGGCAATCACACACACACACGAATGCACTCAGCTAGTTATTGGCCAATCGCGGATTGGTGGCAAATTTAATTGAATTTATGAATTTCAATTTCAAATGAAAATATCAAAATAATGTCTGTCGGTTTGACAGACCGAAAACAAGTATTTCTATTTAAATTGGCTTGTTGCAGTTGTTTCTTGTTGTTGCTGGCGCTGCTGTTGTTATTGCAAATTGGTCGTTCGTCCGTTCATTAAACATGTCATAAATTCTTGGTTAAATTGCGGTTTTTGCTAATATCGCCACACCGCAGCTACGCAGTTATTTGCAGCATTTAGTTTTGTTTAATTGCCTAATAAAAATGTTTAGAACTGGGGAAAAAAATCAATTGAAATAAGAGATAAATGATTGTGAATTTAATAATAATGGGTTTTAATTGGTAGACAGAAGAAAACAATTGGAGGGCGAAGATAGGGAAAACGAAAATATATGAATGCGCATTAATGATATAAAACCTTTTTAAACAGTCTCTTTAAACAGTGTCTGTTTTTAATGAATCTACACCAAAAAAAATAGAGTATGGAGCGTATGATTTACGGCAATATGTATACGCAATGTTGGCCTTTTTTTGTGTAATAATCAAAATTTTAATTCTTTGTGAAGGTGTTGCGAGATGAGGTGAGTCAATACATTCCGTATTCACATCAGATCTCTGATTGAGAGAAATATTTAGTTATAGAAAATTTGAAAAAAAAAAAAAAAAATGCTGATATGTTTCGCAAGTTATGAGAGATATAAGTATTTAAAATTGTGGCCCTTTGTGTGGGAGGTACCAGAAGAATAGGCCGATTTCTATCATCTACTCACTAGATTTTGTATAAGTAAAAATATTGGGAATTGTGACATTTGAAGAGAGTCGAATGCTTTTTTCAAATTTTTTTTTTTGAGAGAAATAATTATTCAAAATTTGGACCCGTTGTGTGGAAGGTACCAGAAATGGTGCACTGATATATTCCAACTTCACACCAGATCTTATGTTAATAAAAATATTGGAATGTGTGAAATTTGAAGACAATCGGAAAGAAATCATCTTAAATCCTCCACCATTCACATTTAAAGTTCGTAATGGGTACTACAGCCTATGACAGAAAATTGTCTGTGCAGGTCCACGTCTTCGCATAGCCCCCATATAACGGCACCTCCCGATATTCGGTATTTTTATGATTTCAGCTACATTATTCACTGGAATCGTTTCACCTTTTGTATTGGGAGATCTTAATGGATACCACAACCTATGGAAAGAAATATCGTACGCAGGTCCACGCATTCGTATAGACTCTATATAACGGCACCTCCCGATATTCGGTATTTTCATGATTTTAGCGACATTATTTACCGGAATTATTTCAAATTTCGTATTTGAAGTTCGTAATGGGTGCTACAGCGTATGACAAAAAATTTCGTAAGCCGGTCCACGTCTTTGTATAGTCTCCATATAACAGTTTTCATTTAAGTAATAGTTTCTGGAAGTTTTTTTGAAATTTTTCAAGTTCCTTCCAAATTGTGGAGGGTATTAAAAGTTCGGCCCGGCTAAACTTAGCTGATTTTTTTACTTGTTTATATTAAAGTATCTAAATTCAAAAGTGTTTCGCTTAAAACTACAAATACCAGTAAAACCGTTTGGATAATGCTTTTAAACTTTTCAAAAAAACATAAAGTGGGTTAGGCCGTTGGATGGGAGCCATACCGAAACGGGAACCTCCATAGACAATTTTATACTTCAAGGATTGTCATCTACCAAATCTTCTTAAATACTAAATTTGAAACAATTTCGTGGGTAAATGTGACGAGGATTATCAAAATACCGAGTATCGGTGGGTATCGTTATATATGCGCTTTAGGAATACTGGACTTAAATCTTCAATATTTAGAACCGGAGCTGGAATCCATTTTGAACTACAAATACCAATTTTTAGACAAATCCTTGCAAAAATGTGACAAAAAAAAAAACATGAAAATTCCGTTGCATGGGGGTTATACAAAAACGTGGACCTATACAGGCATTGTTTCGGCAGCGGTGCTTGAACCCATTATGACCTATAAATACGAATTTTATGATACATTTTTGAAAAATATTTTATCAATGGAACTCCAGGGCTCAGAGCTGCAATCATGGACGTTTTGGGAATTAGGAGCTGTAATAGTAGATTATTTAAGGAATAACATTTTAAGGCTTTTTCAGAATGCAATCATGAGTTTTTTGGGGAATAATTGTTCAATACACCTCCAGAGACTTTTTAGAGAAGGACCTATACAGGCATTGTTTCGCTACCAGTGCTTGAACCCATTATGACCTATAAATACGAATTTTATGATACATTTTTGAAAAATACTTTATCAATGGAACTCCAGGGCTCAGTAGGCCTCAGAGCTGCAATCATGGACATTTTGGAAATTAGGAGCTGTAATAATAGATTATTTAAGGAATAACATTTTAAGGCTTTTCAGAATGCAATCATGAGTTTTTTGGGGAATAATTGTTCAATACATCTCCAGAGACTTTTTAGAGAAGGAATTTTTAAGGAATGCCAACCGATGCAATTTTGGATTTTGACGAAATGATTTTTTCAAAAGTATCCCCAGAGTTATGATCGTAGATTTTTCGAGGGACATATATTAGTTGAAGAATTCCAAGAACGGCAATCGTATATTTTTATACCCTCCACCATGGTAGTATACATTTTAGACACAACGTATATATATTCTTGATCAGCATAAAATTCTATGTCGATTTAGCGGTGTCCGTCTGTGGAAATCGCTTTAGCTGTATATTATGCCCGCAGGTCCACGTTCTCGTACCTCCCGATATTCGGTATTTTGATAATTTTAGCGACATTATTCACCGGAATTGTTTCAAATTTGGTATTTGAAATTCGTAATGATTACTACAGCCTTTGACAGAAAATTGTCTCTGCAGGTCCACGTTTTGGCATAGCCCCCATATAACGGTACCTCCCGATATTCGGTATTTTGATGATTTAAACTGCATTATTCACCGGAATAATTTCAAAATTGGTAGTTGAAGTTCGTAATGTATAGTACAGTCTAAGACAGAAAATTGTTTGAGCAGGTTCACTTCTTCGTATAGCCCTCATATAACGGTACCTCCCGATATTATGTATTTTGATGATTTTACCGACTTTATTCACCGGAATTGTTTCAAATTTGGTATTTGAACTTCATAATGGATGCTACAGCCTATGACAGAAAATTGTCTGTGCAGGTCCACGTCTTCGTATAGCCCTCATTGTAAAGGCTTTTGACAAAAGTTGCCTATGCAGGTCCACGGATTTTATTTTTATTTATTTATTATTGTTTTTAATTTTTTTTTTTTTTTTTTTTTTTTTGAAATTGACAAATTCGTTCCAAATGGTAGAGGGAGGCGATTCGAATTTCTGCCCTCCACTTTAATAATGAATTTAATTCCCAGCTGCAACTGGTTATAAAACAATTATTAATGAAATGCATTTAAAATTAAAAAAAATCTCCACTCCACCCCAAACCCTCATATTAAAAATAAACTCATCAAAGAGGCAATTAAAATATTTTACCATTATAAAGTGTTTGGAAATCCTGAAAAGGCAAACATTAAATAATGACATGACATAGTATGCATGGTATGGGGCCGTGGGAGGGGGACCCCGGGGAAGAGAGAGAACGGGACAAAAAACATTAAAACAATAAAAACCAAAAAAAAATAAATAAATATTGTGAATTAAACATGTGCAATTAATTAATGAAACACTGTGTGAATGGGCTGGCTGGCTGCCTGGCTGGTTGGCAGACAGCGGCCACTGCAGAATGCCAGCCAAGTCAAATGGCAAATAAAATACCACAGAATATTTTACAAATGACCAAAGTTGCGTTGAATAAATTATGATGAAAGTGAATAAAAATTGAATTATCTCTTGTTTGTGTGTAATTAAAATAAACACATTAAATTAATTAACAACAAAGTGCACTCTCGCACACACACACACACACTCACTCACGCAACTGATGAATATTGACCACTGTTTCCATTGCAACATTTCATTACAGATCCTCATCATGCGGCCGTAAAGAATAGCATGAAAAAGAAGAAACTCGCCTCGGCACATGTTGCCTCCAGTGCATCCATCCTGCCACCCGATGTCAGTCCGTCGGGCAGCAGTGATAGTCTGATGCGTGAACGATTGGCCCCACCCGCAATTAGCACTACACCGCCGGCTGTTAGCTGTATGGAAACAACAGAGGATGATTCCGATTCCGGGTCGACAGATGCTCGGCGTAAAAAGAAGGCACGGACTACATTTACAGGACGTCAAATATTCGAGCTGGAGAAACAGTTTGAAATTAAAAAGTACCTTAGTTCAAGTGAACGAACCGAAATGGCAAAGCTGTTGAATGTCACCGAGACGCAGGTAAGTGGGAGGGAACTAATTTTAAGGCTTTTGGGGGTGAATGTGTGAAGGATGACGGGAGTCATACGCAGAGGGGGTTTCAAGTGCTGGAATTAAAAGAAATCTAACTAAAATCTGAATGACTTAACGATTTATCAGCGCCCAGACGAAACGGTTCAAGCTGGAATTCTGAAATTTTGGAATGAAGGATCATTATTGGGTCAGATATGCCTGTGTTTTTGGAAATTCGTACTAGAATGGTACGAAAAATATTAAAAGATACTGAATATGGTACCCTTTGTTTTTGAGGAAGCAGTAGAGCTAGAACTTTTCAATTTGGAATGAGGGTCACTGATGGAGTGTATGATAGATGTCTGAAAGGGTTTATGGAAATTCTCATCATAAGACTACGAAAAGTACTAATGTGTACTACATTTGGTACCATTTCGAATCAGGTGAATAGTTCGATCTAAGAACTTGAAGCTTGGAATGGGAATCAAGGTTGAGAAGTAAAGTCGATGTAAGGAAGTATTCTTGAAGGTGCGTAATCATATATTTAAATTTGGAGTAAGGAGGATGGATGGGAATCCTTAAATTTGAGGAAGTTTTCGAAAGTTGTACATATGTGCTCGAAAAGTACTAAATGGTGCTACATTTGGTATGATTTCGATTTTGGTGAACAGGTAAAGCTGGAATTCTTAAATTTGGAAATACGATTACTCTCGGAGTGTAGGATTGGGATATGTTGACAGTTATACAAATGGTACTAAATTTTATAACAAAAGAAGTGATATCCTGAAAATTGGAAATAAGTACTCTCGAATTTTAGGATTGGGATATGTAGATAGTTATGAAAAATTGTACCTAAGTGTACTAAATGGTATGTAATTTGGTACATATTGGATTTGGAAATATTCCTGAAAATTGGAAATAAGATAACTGTAAGAGTGTAGGATTGGGTTATGTGGGAAGTTTTGGAAATTCGTACTTATCTGTACAATATGGTACTAAATTCGGATCAATGTGTACCTAGGCAAGCCGATGGAGATGGAATCTAGAAATTTAGAAATTGCGGTTACTGTGGATTGTACGGGGAGAGATAAAAAACTGCAACAAAGTCAAACGCCATAATTTCTACATTTTTTCAAATTTTATTGAATGAAAGCAAAAATGTCGGAAATAGCATTAGATTTTAGAATAACTTTAGATTTGTTCGTATTAGTCACCTCTGGCACGAATTATGGCCTTCAAACGGCCAATAAAACCATTACACGCTGCCCGAGTGTTGCTCTGCGGTATTTTGGCCCATTCCCGGCGAAGCGCTTGCATGAGGTGGTCGACGCTTTGGAATTTTGTAGTGCCAACCTTGTTTCTAAAATACTCCAGACACAATAATCCAACGGATTGGCATCCGGAGATTTTGGTGGCCATTGTGCGCTGGAAATGAAGCGAGGAACCTAATTTTGTAACCATTCTTGGGTGGCACGTGCTGAGTGCGACGTTGCTGAGTCCTGCTGGAATATCCAAGGTCTGCGGCCAAAATGTTTGCGTGCCCAAGGCTTTAATACACCCTCCAGAATATTTTCGCGATAATATTCGACATTTATTCTGTTGCCACGGTCGATTAATACGAGCGGAGAGCGACCATCGGCTGTTATGGCGGCCCACACCATCACCATGGCCGGCGCTTGAGTTCTGGTGGCCAACCGAAGGTGTACATTTTCAGCTGACCTCTTTGGCAAGTAAACACGATCATTTTGTTTGTTTACAAACTGCTGGATAACGAATGTTTTCTCATCGGAGAAAACCAAATTCGCCAGTTCACCACTTTCGGCCAAACGAAGCAACTCTTTTGAGTCTATTATCATTCTGTTGCGGTGTCAGTTCTTGCTCTTTTAGGAATTTCAAAGGTTTTACCCCGAGCTCATTTTTCAAAATTTGCGAATGGAATATTGCGATATGTTCGGCCATTTTTCGGCTACTGCTACGCGGGGTTTCGATGAAATCGCTTCTTTACTTTTCGAACCATTTCCGCTGAGGTTGCTGTTTTCTTCCGTCCACTTCCTTAACATTGGGCTACGCTACCAGTATCACTGTAACTAACAATGGTACGGGACATAAAAGATTTATTCACCTTTAAATGCTCTAACTATAGTCACTTGTGGTTTTCCAGCCAAATATAAAGAAATTACACTATCACGCTTGAATTCCATCACGAATAACTTTTTTTCTGCTTAATTCTCACCAAAATGATTTTGTAGGCTTGTAAACAATATAATGAGCTGTCACTGGAATAATTTTAACAGCTGTCGGACGACTCGCTTAGAAATGACAGCAGTCTGAAGTTGGTTGCAGTTTTTTCATCTCACCCGGTATATAAAAACTATGAGAATAGTACCATTTCTATAAACAAAGGGAAACTTTTCACGTGAAGCAGGAAAACTTTCCTAATATACCCTCCAGGGCAAAATTCTCTCTCCCTCTCTCTGCCAAACAACAAAATCCATTATGTAAATAAAGCTTCATTGAACAAAATTGCTAAGCACCCACATAGCTGCACATCGAAAAATTACTAAAATCAATGACCAATTACGGATAATAATAATAACAGCAAATAATAGAAGCAACAACAACAACAGAAACACCAACAAGGACAACATAATATTTACATAAATGAAAATGTGTGGTTTATGAGCTTGTGAATGCTCAAATTAGGTGTGATTATAATCACGTATGCAGAGCAGTATATCAATTATACGAGGATGGTATGGTAATTGATGGTAAGATTCATATATTATATTATATTGAGTGGACGTCGGGGATTTTTATATATATTTTTAATAGAAGATGAAGGAATACAAAGTTAGAATCCTTAGTAAGGTAGAATTTTATGCAGTAATGGATCTGTTGGGGGTTATATTTTTCTTCAATTTCTTCAATTTAAATGCATCCATTTATACCCTATACCACATAGCGGTAAGGGTATTATGTCTTTGTGCATTTGTTTGTAACAGGGAAAAGAAAGCGAGATAGTCCCATAATTACTTTTGAGGATCCTCATAGAATCACTTTCTGAGTCGATTTATGCATGTCAGTCAGTCCGTTCATGTATTCTTGTGAAAAAAAATGCAGGTCGCATTTATTATCCGATTGAGATGAAATTTTGCAAACGATACTATTTTGGCCCAAGGACGAACCCTATTAAAATGAATGATAATCAGATAAGATTTAGATATTGCTCGCATATATCTTCAACCGATTTTGGGGTAATTGTGCACCAAATGGCTTATATAAGTGCAAATAACCTTTATTTTGGTACTTCTCAGCGAATTCAGTCTAGAGGCAAGTACATAAAATTTGGTGAAAATCGGTTCAGATATAGCTGTAGCTCATCCGATTTTGGGGTTTTAAGTCCCTCACATGCGTAATAAGAACTTCACAACAATGATATTTGTTACCAGATAAAAAATACCTCTGCCTAATTGTATCAAGATCGGTTCAGATTTGGATATAGCTCCCATATATATATCTTCAGCCGATTTCGGGTTAATAGTACACCAAATGGCCAATATCAGCCCAAAAGTCCTTAAAAAATGGCAAAGCTGTTGAATGTCACCGAGACGCAGGTAAGTGGGAGGGAACTAATTTTAGGACTTTGAATGTGAATGTGTGAAGGATGACGGTAGTCAAACGCAGGGGGGGGGGGGTTTCAAGTGCGGGAATTAAAAAAATCTATCTAAAATCTGACTGACTTAACGATTTATCAACGCCCAGACGAAACGGTTGAAGCAAGAATCCTGAAATTTTGGGTGAGGATCACTTATGGTCCGAAGAAGTCAGATATGCCTGGCTTTTGGGAAATTCGTACCGTAACGGTACGAAAAGTATTAAAAGATACTCAACATGGTACACCTTGTAGTTGAGAAAGCAGTAGTCCTTAATTTTTGTACATCCAACCGAATTCAGTCTAGAAGCAGGTACATCAAATTTGGAGGAAATCGGTTTAGATATAGATATAGCTCTCATATATATGTTTTATCCGATTGGATTGGTGTTTAAGACCTTCAAATTCGTAATATCCATTGATATACCGAAAATACATTTGCCAAATTCTATAGAGATCGGCTAAGAATTGAATATAACTTCGAAATATCCTTAATCCGATTTCAGGTTTATTGTAGCTAAAAATAGCTAATATCAGACCAAATGGAGTGGATCTCGGCTCCGATATATATTTTTATACCCTCAGCCATATGGCTACAGAGGGTATATATCATTTGATACGGTCAAAACGTGCCTAGTCGAAATAACGATTTTAGACCCTAGGTCTCTTTGGACCAAATCCGTTTCTGGACATTTGGAGTCGATCTAGCGATGTCCGTCCGTCCGTCTGTCTGTCTGGCTGGCTGGTGCGCACGATAACTCTCGAAGGGAGTATCCGATTTGATCCAAAGTTGGTACATCCTAATATTATTTTCAAACATAGATCGAGTTCGGAGATGGGCACTATCGGTCCACTCCTTCAGGTACCTCCCACACAAAATGTCAAAATTTTCAAAGAGAATAATTTATTGCACAGAAAGAGAAAGGATAATCCGATTTTGCTCCAACTTTGCGAATCCTAATATTTTCATTAGTGCTAGGTCAAGTGCGAAAATGGATAATATCGGTCCACTCCATCAGGTACCTCCCCACAAAGGGTCAACAATTTGAATTATCTCTTATAAAATGTTATGTAAGAGTCCGATTGTCTTCAAATTTCATAAATCCCAATAATTTGATTAACCCAAAGTCGAGATCGCAGATGGACACTATCGGTCCACTCCTTCTGGTACCTCCCACACAAAATGCCAAAATTTTCAAGAAAATAATTTGTTGCACTGAAAGAGAAAGGATAATCCGATTTTGCTACAACTTTGCGTATCTTAATATTTGCATCAGTGCTAGGTCAGGTGCGAAAATGGATAATATCGATCCCCCACAAAGGGTCAAAATTTTGAATAATTTCAACTCTTATAAAA